TTTCCATTGCGCTAGTGGTTCAAGCACAGCGCCAGACGCAGTTTTTCACGCTGATTATGAATCTCGGGTTCTTTTAAAACAAAATTTTGGTTTTCGGCGAAAAAATTGAGTTTAAGTTTTTAAAGAAGTTTAACTTTAATTTCCTGATCTAGAAATTTTTGCTAACGGGTAGACCGTTCTCTCCTCGACATATCCGCTTGCAATTAATTGTTTCATCGGTGATTTTCGCTAAAAATTTTCAAAAATAATTCCTAAGATACTAAACGGACCTTTTTGGGTCATAGCATCCCGCTCTGGAAGTAGCGCTGGGACGAACTCGCTAGGTTTAATAGTTTTTTCAGATAAGAGCGAGTTAGTGCATCAAAAATGTCACAGCGTCACGCTTGGACAAGCCGCTAGGTCTTTTCTACTTTTTAATAAAATACAGCTCGTTTCTGCAGTTCACTTTTCTTCGTTTCTTTTGCTTCTGGTTTTAATTCATTTCTGTTTAACGTGTATGTCAGTATAAGTGTGTCTGTACAACGTATAATGGGTCTAGACGTCTCCATTGGTGGTTTAAATAAATAGGTTTAAACCAAATATTTTGTATTTCAATCTTGATGACTCGCTGTATAAATCAGTCTTCAACTTTGATTGTGCCTTACCGCAAAATTCATGGAATTTGCCTGACATTGCTCAATGGTTGATAGCATTCCACTCAGCAATGTATCTTGAAGTAGAAACTCATTCGATGTATCGATTTCGCTTTTGTAATATTCTATGATCTTTCACTAGCTCGCTCAACAATGGGTATTGCATATCATGTTCTATATAAATCCAATTTCACTACTGACTCGAGTGTATGTAGTATTTCCTAGAGAAATTGATTTTGATTGAAAGTTGCATCACCTTCTTGAATCGCATAGTTTAAGTCATATTTTGGTTTATGTAAATGTTTGATTTGTTTACCTAGAATTTGTTCAACTGATGTGTCAGTTTTTTTTGTTTTGATACAAAAGTGTAGTCAATAACTTTTTGACTTTTTGTACGCATTTTTCCAATTATTGTAATAGTTGTTTGATGAGATGAAATGGCGTAGGTTGTGGTGTTTCACCACCTAGTTCATTAAAATTGTCCTTTTAGTGGATGAAACTGTTGAATAATTCATGTGGTCGCAAAAGTTGTATACGAAAATGCAGTGATTATCCCTTGCTCATATAAGCGAATCATTGAACGCACAGAAACACATTAGAATGGCTGAGCAACAATATTTGTAGAGTGATGTCAAAATAGTCTACTCGATGAAAATGTCGAATAAGAAGTATATCTCCATATGTACTGAATTGGGTTGTTACTCTTGTTTGCTAAATGACTACGGTATTTGCTAGCTCCTGTTCTGTAGAAAATATTATTCTTTAGCTTTCATTTCTGTTTCAAATGCTTCAATGAGGACCACCCGATTAACTTTCATAAAAGAAAAAACCCTTTTGTTCGTCCGACCGAAGGGCAATCAAATAATTTATATATTGTATCGAGTTTTGCCCTGTTTAAAGCGACATTAGAAAATATGTTTTGTGAAAGTTAAGCAATTTTGGGATTGGTTTTATCTTCAAGATGTCAGGTAAACATCATGGTTGTTTTTTCGAACTGTACTTCGAAGGGATCAGACAGAACTACAGAAGGTGTATCTTGCATACATACCATAATAAAACGCACAGATCTTCATCGTTGTTAGACGAGAAGTTCCATTCGTTGGATGTATAATATATCATTAATTTTAACTTTATTTTTTAGATTCCACAAATTGTTCTATGTTGATTGACAGTCCATACGGAGCTCTGTTACACAGCAATGCCATCATTGGCCTAACAACCTTTTCCTTAAGAAGATACGTTTTAACTATAGGGAATCGATATGAAAAAGACCATTCTCCAGTTGATTTGCTTCTGTAATGCTAAACCAATGGGGGATGATACCTATGTTGATACAAAAAATTGAGTTTAAGCTTTTAAAGAAGTTTAACTTTAATTTCCTGACCCAGAAGTTTTGTCTAAAAGATATAGAAGTACACCAGTCGATAGAAAAATTAAATTCTCTACAAAATAGGTCATTTTGTTTTGACAGTGAATTTTTCCGGCGAGCGCCAGGCTTTCCAGAAACTTTCAGATTCCGGGCTATTTTCTAGTCGGGCTTTGAAGTTCAGAGTGCCAGTCTCTCGTAAATCGTGAGTATCTAGCAAGAGCTCGGATAAAGATAAAAATAAAGTTCTTTTGGCCGTGCTGATTGCCAAGGGCTGCTCTCCCAAAAAAGAGTTTCACAGGTCACGAAAAATGTCATAGCCTTACGGTAATAATGTAATGTTTCTACGATCCAATAGGCTTTTCTGTACTGTAGTTTGACTTACAGAAACACAAGACAGAACTAGGCGCAAACTGTGGTGGCCATATATTATCATGAAAAAGCACTGTGAGAGTGCTACACACTATGTCATGGAATCCATTTTGCGTGAA